CCTTTTCAATTGTGGTGAAAATAAAGTACCAAACCATTTGCCAACTTTACTTTGTCTATATGTACAATTGTTGTAAGTCACTGTGATAAGCTGAGCACCCTTTCTTAGTCATCTTAGCCATTACTTACTCGCTTTAAAGGTCCAGATATACAAAGGCGTTTCAGAAAGTTCATGAAAAATTTTCATTGTCTTCCCACAATTTCATTTTTCCACAAACGTTTGAAGCCCACTCTTTAAATATGTTAGATTTTGTAGTCCATGCTGTCTTTGTCACAACTAGCCGATTCTTGATGTCTCTGCCATTGTAGTACTTAAGTATCTATGGGCAATACATTAACTAAGTTAACCTATCTGTTCCAGAAAAAATTACAGAAACAGGTAGCAGGCAGGCTTTGGTTCATTGTAGTTTGCTGGTCCCTGACCTAGATAATCAAACTCGCAAAGTGGAACAGCACCTGTTCCTTAAGAGAGTACAGGCTGGGAAATACAGCACGGCAGGGTCAGGTTGGACATCTGGCGAGCCCTCACAGCAGAGTTCCCAGTGACAGGCAAGGCGTGAGACCATACATAGCCTTCCTCCTCTAGAATCCCCTTGCCACCTGAGAGTCAGTTATCTCTTATCACCACCCTGGGTATAGTTTCTAGGGGCTCTGGCATAGCACACAGTCAAAAGAATTATATCTGACAGAATCCCAAAGATACGGCTTCCCGTCATAGAACATTCATAATTCTCATACAGTTTCAGGCACTAGAAATCAGAGGTCATTTTTACCATAAGCTACATGGCTACCAACATAACCGATAATCCACTTTTATCTGCTTTCCAAGAAAATAAAAAAAGGTCGGTTTCCTACGTAGAAAGAGAACACACAGTTTTCTCTTTTTTAGCTCAGCTAGGTAGGGGGGTTGATAGATCTAACATTTACTGTCCATTTTTAATCTACCAGATATTGTATGTATTACCTTATCAACTCTGTAAGGTAGGTTTTTTATCCCCATTTTAGAGGGAAAGCTGAGGTACAAAGAGTTTAAGAGTCTTGCCCAAAGGTCCTCAACTAGAGATAGAAGATGGAAGACTGAAGTCCAGATAATCTGGATCATACGAATTGAGGGAGTTGCGGGTTTGGAATATTTTTCCAACCCAGGTATTCATAATCACAGCAAAACTTAGACGCATCCAATTTGGTCAATTCAAACTATTTGTTCGTGCGAAATACACTCAGGATTGAGGAATGCAAAGCAGAACAAGTGTCGGTGCTTCATCAAGAAATGTTGGCTCTGAGGAACACCTGCATTTAAGCCTTTCTTTTAAGGGTTTTGCTGTGGTTAAAACTAATCCTAGGACTTGGCTTACCCAAGACATGTAAGTGGGAAAAATCAGATTTGTAGCATGGTCTGGTTAGATTGCATGAAGAACATAGGAAATTGAATGGGACAATGCATATTTCTTACTTTCACAAACTTCTAATATTACAATTTTTTTTTTCATTATAAATAGACAATAAGCCATAGTATTGTTGATAGTAATTGTAACTTTGTCATCCATAGAAATACCACTTACACTCATCTCAACTTTGAAATATTAGACTTACTATTAGATATTATTTAATATATTAATAGTGTACATGATCACGGATTAGGTTTTTTAAAAATATTTTGGTAATTATATTACAATAATACTTTGTAAATCTGTGGTTTGTTTTTTCTTGTAAATACAAGAAAAAGTGTTCTCCAAATGAGTATATAAGCTTCAACAAAATGCAAGATACAGCATAGAAATATAGCCCAAAATAGCATAGAAAAGGGACACTCCTGGGCTAGAGGAAATTTATAAAGTGAAAGAAAGGTCAGGTTTGAGTACCAGCTACTTAGCATATGATGGAACACTGGTGGTGTGCTGGTTATTCATTCTGTTGCCATCTGAAAGGTCTGCAGTTTGAAACTACGAGCCACTCCTTGGGAGAAAGATGGGGCTTTCTACTCCTGTGAACAGTTATAATCTCAGAATTCATAGACCCAGTTCTACCCTGCCCTGTAGGGTCACTATGAGTCGTCATCAACTCAATGGCAGTGAGTTTGGTTTGGTTTGTTGACCTCTTATGTATAATCTAGTTTGTGGGTTTAAATATATTGGCTTTTGCAAGAGTAAAGTGAAGTAGTGCCTCAATCCAGATTGCCATACAGACTGCAAGAATTATTAAAGTATTATATACTTTATTGATAAATAATTTATAACAACCCAGCTATGACAGTAATGTAATTAGACCTATTTACTGTAGCTTAGTGTTTTTCCTCGTTCACTCAGACTTTACATTTTTTCTATAGGAAACTGACCGTGGAGATTTGAAGAGCCCTGTGTGTCAAGACACAGAATTTGAAGAAGATATGCCAACACTTTCTCCGCAGATGGACCGTGAAAGTGAAGAAGAGAATGCAAAATCTTCATTCGAGTCTTCTATGCCTCAGTTAAGTGCCTGTGGTGCAGAATGGTGTCTTGAAGGAGAAGTGAAAACAAGACGACCACTCAATCATGATAAAGAGTTATATGCCGTAAATCATAAGGAACCTAAGATCAGAATTCCCCGCTCTGGAAAAGAGGCAGTTAAAGCGTATGGTGACATAGAGAGCGGGCTCGATCTCTCTGACACGACACAGATCACTGGTAAGGGCACAGTAGAGACAAGAAATGAAGCAACCAGCTTACCAATCAGTAGTAGGGATATTTCCAAAAGTGAAAACCAGGAATCTCCCTCTGAAGCAGTTAAGGATCCATGCTTTTCTGCAAAAAGAAAGAGAACATCCCCAAACCAAGAGGAAACAGAAATCAACTTGACCCAGAAACTGATTGAGTTGGAGCATCTACTTTTTGAAAGACATAAACAAGAAGAACAGGACAGGTTATTGGCATTACAACTTCAGAAAGAGGTGGATAAAGAAGAAATGGTGCTCAACCGGCAAAAAGGATCCCCAGGTGGGTATCAGTTACGTGCTGCATCCTTTTCTCCAGACAAACTACTAATGGGGCAGAAGAAGAATTCTGACGATAGGACCTTCAAGACACAAACTGATAGAGAACATTCAAAATCTTGGAGAAGCCTAAGAGATGAAAACTGGCAACCTCTTAAGATAGATTTGAAACATTCAGTTACAGTTAATGGAAGGAGGACACCAAATTCTGCCAGAGCTCATTGTAATGTCTCAAAAAAGGCCCATTCCCTACAGTCTAGTAATTCACAGAAAAGTATTTTTCAAATGTTTCAGAGATACCAAAAGTAATGCACGGGTAAAGTGTGGTGTGTTTTGTGATCTGGTAATGCTGGATTGTGATGCTGGCATATTCGGTATAGAATCTCATAGGTAAGCGTTCTCTCTGGATTTATGTCCATTGTCCTTACTTAAAGGACTGCAGTTACAAGGGAAGAATATACTAATGTGTTTCTCCAAAGCTCAGTATGATCAATAAGGGTCCCAATCTTTTACATTTTTAACTGATGTACCGAGTCGGACATTCCTTTATTATAGTTATAAAATACCTTTGTCAGTTCCAAGATATCTTCGGTTATCTCTTCCTCAAAAAATGCTTGCCTTTTTGTCATGACTAGTGATCAAAGCAAGACTATATAAAGTAGTTAAAGAACCCAAGTAGGGTTTACAAAGTACATTTTCTTGCTACATCTCCCCTATATTTACTGAGCACTTGCACTGCAACTTCTCTTAACACTAACGTAATCAAACTTCCATTTCTACTATAATTAAATTTTAAGCATTATAACATTTTCTTTGAATTATGAAGTATTAGGATCAGTGGCAAACCATAAAATTATTAGTCTTCTGGAAAATAGGAAATTGTTTGACAGAAAGGAAATTAGACTCTTGGTGCAAAGGAATATTGAGTTAGAGTGAGACCGGGTGGGTTAGATCAAGTTTGAGAGCATTGGATCACAATACATGATCAAAGACTGGGCACCGAATGGAATAGCAGGTATAATTTGGCATAGTATTCTCCTTTGTCCTTTTCTTTGCTGAATGGCACAGAAGACACATGAGTTTTTCATAGTTTTTCACAGAATGGTATGTAGTGTGAAAATTAAAATGATTGAGTATTTGAAAATTCTCGTAGTCTGCTATTCCAGGAAAAATGGAGTGGTTCTGAGGGTTGTATTGCAAGACCCTTTGTTGGGAAGCCTGTGACATAACCATGTGTCTATTTCCTTATATTATCATTTGTACTGATGGTTATTTTTAGTTGTTTATGGACAAAAATAGAAGGTGTGCTACTTCAGTTTTGCCCTGTCTTGCCCCTAGAAGTTAAATCAAGTTGTGATTTCATTTTGAGAAATTTAAAATGTAGAGACTGTTTCATTAATCTGAACCACTTTTGCCAAAATACAGCAGTCTTTAACAGCATTTCTGCTGATTACCTAGCCATCCATTTAATGGAAAAATAAAATATTTTAGAGCTAATTCTAGCTTCAATTTGTCAATATTTTTATTAATGTTAACCATTTTTCTTCAATACTGACTGGGTAATTATGGGTAGAATTCTAATAATAATTATAAAATTTTAGTTTGCTCTGTCAGAAAAAAAGTTGCCTTTTAAAAAAGATTATAGTAGAATGAAGTTGAGTCAGAAATTCAAGATTCTCATCAAGCCATACTTCCCTAGGAAACATCACTTTATATTTTAGGGTAATGGTGGTATTCCTCAAATTAAAAGTTATCCAATTAAATCATCCTAGAATAATAGCTGACCAAAAATGAGGAAAATACAGCCCACAGTGTGGTGTATTTAGAATTTATGCATTTAACCACTTAATTGTCTAGAGAAGTCTTCTTGACTAAAGTTGATTTTAAAGTTAAATTTAATTTCTCAATAAGTCTTTTTTGCTATTCCTACCATTTATGTATGCCTTTTTACAAGAAAATAAATGCTTGTGTCGGTCATTAGACTGTATTGCTAATTTTTTCTCTTATTTTTTGTAGTACAGATATGAGAATGTTTAATTACCAAGGTGTACAAATGCTGTGCATAGATTGAGAATTTGAAAATTAAAATAATTATGAAAAATAAAAATTGAGTACATAAAATTTAGTAAGAGTGTGCATTTTTAAAATGGCTAATTCCAAAGCTTTGCAAAATGGGGAAGACATAGTTGCAACTGACCACAAAGTGCTTAATTTCTTTTAAAGCAGGGGGAAAATCATTGCTGGTATCAAATGTATCTTAACTGAAAACAGACTACCAGAAAGGGGTTCACTTGTATTTCATTGACTGCAAGACATTCAACTATGTGGCTCATAACAAACCATGACTAACAATGAAAAGAGTGGGAATTCTAGAACACTAATTTTGTTTATATGGAGCCAGTACACAGACAAAGCGGCTGTTACTCAAACAGAACAAGGGGATTGCTGCATGGTTTAAAATAATGGTTTAAAAGGTGTGCATCATGTTTACTCAATTTGTATGCTGCATAAGGCTTGAGAAACTGAACTATATGAAAAGAATGTGGCTTCAGGACTGTGATACGCAGGTGGCACAACTCGGCTTACTGAAAGGACTTGACGTACTGAATTGATGAAGATCAAGGATTATAACCTTCAAAGATGGATTATACCACAATAAAAACAAAAATGCTCACAGTTGGACATAGTGAAGTTGTGAAGGATTTTTTCCCTTTTTTGATCCATAATCAAAGCCCATGGAAACAGCAGTCCTGCAGTTCTGCCTCTAGGAATCCCTTGAAGGTGTCTTCACGTGTGTGTAGAAATGACATGTACAGAAAAACCTCTGTTAGAGCAGTGTCTGTAATCACATAGTGTCAAAACAGCCTGAATGTTCACCAGTAGGCATTAGAGAAATGATAGTGCAATGGAGTATTATACAGCCTTAAATAACAAAAGCAGTTTATGAATTTGAAACTAAATAGAGTTAAATGAAAAATTCTAGGTGCCATTGAGTTGGCTCTGACCCGTAAGTGCACAGCAGAATGAAGCATTGTACGATCCTGCACAATCCTTATCATTGTTCTTATGCCTGAGCCCATTGTTAAAAAATACAAGATTGAAAATAGTGTGTGTGATGTGCAACTGTTGTCCAGTAAAACTACATGTCTTTAAATATATATGTATATTTTGAAACCTTTGAGAGATGCAAGTGCCTTGTTTTTCCAGGTCTCACAAGTTCTACACCTTTGAAAGGGACAGTCTTACCACTACCCTATCACTTGTTTTAATGGATAATAGTTTTTCTTCTATGACAGGTTTCCACCTTACATGGGTTCTGACTTTTGCAGGTTTTACTGCATTTGGATAAAATATCCCTAGAAGGAGAAAGCATAATGTTGCCAGTAAGGAGGACAGCTGGGTTGCTGGAAGAGTTTAATTATCTGTCTTTTTATACTTTTTGAATTGTGGGGATGTATTATCTTGCATATTTAAATGTTCTTAAAAAACATTGCAAATAAGGAAATGAGGCATCTCGGCTTGTACCACTCTGGATGGCCTTTCTCTGCCTGTAGGTATTAGAATCCTATCCAAGAAAGTTTTTCTGCTTGAAAACTTGCTAGTGATCAGCATTATGGATTTTTGTTTAACTTAGCTGTAATATACTATTTTAAAATCATTTGAAAAGCGAAATTTAACATTTGCCAGGTAGAATGGAGTAGCTTGCAGCAGACCCCACTGTGGACATGTAGAAAAGCTGGATAAGCATTTTTTCCCCTCCAACCACTTTGTTGGCAAGTAATTTACATGTATCATTCAATAATTAAATCATGGAGAATTATACAGTCACCCCCACATCAACCTTAGAGCTTTCCCCCTCCCCCATGGGTAAATGGCCTTTAAGATGAGTTATGCAATCACAGTCTGTTCTAGTGCTCCCTCCCCCTCCTGTCTTCATTAGTTACTCCCCAAATCCCTTTCCCTCCCTATCTTGCCTTAAGATACAACTATAAAAGCATCAGAGTGTGGCCGAAACAATGAAGATGAAAGAGGCTGAGATTATAGAGAGGAGAGGCTCCTGAGAGCTAAACTTAATGTTTCACCCACTTTTCCTTTGTGTTATGTGTGCTTTGGGTACAGGACAAGTCTCGGATGATGTTGGTAAACAGAAACTCAGAATTCTTAAGAGATCCCATAAACTGGAATGATAATGTTAGAGACTTGAGAGCTGTCAGGTACATGCCTGGTTTTTCTGTCAAGATAATTGCAGGGTTGAATCTGCTCAGGTCAGAAGCTAAAAAAAAGCCTGTGAAAGATTTTATCAAGCTCATGGTTCTGATGAGACCAAAGATGAGTGGGAAGAACTCGCCCCCAGGGCCTAGGTGGGGAGAGCAGGGTTCTGCAAACCATACCAGGGACCTGTGGATTCCTCCATAGGGTTACAGCCATTTGATCCTAAAGAACTGAACTATATATTAAACTAGTACTTCTTGCATAAGTTGGGAACCACTGAAACTGACATGTACAGAAAAAAAGTCATTGCCAGGGAGTTGATGCTGATGTAGTGACCCTGAGGGTTTCAGAGACTAGCTCATTACTACAACCTCCTCCCCACTGATTTTAGATCTCGTTCCCTTGCCCCTGGGTTTCTTGGCTCACCCCTCCCTTTCTCCCACCACCTCCTCCCATGTCTCCTGGAACCGGGCATCCAGTTGTCTCTCCTCAGGATTGTAAACAATCCTCCCTATCTTGTACCAGATAGACATGAGGTCTGTCTGCTGACCCTTATGAATGTTTTCCAGTCGGGTCTGATGAGGTGGCAGGCTCTGTCCACTGAGTCGTCTGTTTTCGGGATTCCTCGGAGACTTCCTGGCTTTCCTCCCCTTGCTGCTGTTGTCCTCCCTCTGTGTTTTGTGGGGGGGGGTGGTGGTGTTTTTTCCCCCCTTCTCCCCCCACTTGCAGGGCGTGGTTGAGGGTATCATAGTGGCTGAGTTTAGGTGTGTGTATGACATAGTGTTGCTGATTTCTAGTGTGCATCCCCAGGTGACTCATCTGCACGTGCCCACCTTTGGAACGTCCCCATAGGTGTCTAATGTGCCTGATCACTTTCAAACCCCTTTATTGTGGCATGGCCAGCTAATTTTGTTTAGCTTTAGGCATTCAGTGGAGACAAACCCCTTATCCCTCATCTAAATCTAAGCCACCGTGCTCTGAGAAGATGGCTACTTGAACCCTATACCCCGCCACCCCTGAATTGTTTGCCTTCCTACTCCTATGTCATTACTGCTTCCATGTCTTGCTTTGTTACCTGCACCTCCTTAGGCCTCTTTTCCCATGTTGGCGTCGGGAGAATGTTGCCTGTGCAGCTGCTGTGGCCTTGTACTCCTTCCACCTTCCTTTTCCTTTCTGGCACTTGTCACCCCTCATTGTTGCTATCTTCCTTTCCAAGACGATTGCGTATAGAGAATTGGCTGCACAGGTGTCGAAGCAAAAGAGGATGCTGGGATAACCCAAAGATCATAACTGCAGGAGGTGGCTACCACCCTCTGCTGGAAAATAAAAGGGAAGAATTTAAGAATATAGGAGCTTATAATTGTAAGAGCTCCTAATAGTAAAACAAGAAACAGGAGCTGAGGCTGTAGGGAGGGCAGGCCCTACAGACTAGATATGCAGACCTCTGAGGGAAACTCCTATGGCTGTTGCTAGTACTTTTGAAAGGGCAGTGAGGTGAAGTCTAGAAAAGAGTTGAAAGAATTGGGCTGGAGTTGACTACCGCTGCTGTGGCAATGCTGACAAGCAGCAAAAAAAACAGGAAATGACTCTCTTTTCCTTTCATCTCTAGTACTTCTTATGACTAGAACTTAATAGCAAAGTGGCAATGGGGTCTGGTGAAACGTTTCTTATATCACAGAACAGTTTTGAAGGATTGATTTGGAGTTCAACACTATGGCAAGTATAGGTTTCCTTTCATGGATTCTGGGACTAAGACATCTTGGTATTTCTAAGTAAGAAACCTGTGAAGCCCTATCCCAACCAGATGGAGTGCTATGTATGAGAAGATCCTACAAATACCCAGAAGAGGTTGTCAATCCATAGAGAATGCATGGAGGGGAAAGGGAGAGGAGACTTCTCAAGCACCTGTAGAATATCTTCCTAATTGTTAACTTTCTATTGTGCTAATTATACACATACTCTAGTATTCTCATCTTGACCAATGCTAGACGAGAGTCACCTAAAGCCACATGCCCCAAACCCTTGCAGGTTAACTGATTTCTCCCCCACAAGGATGCTAAGAACCCATTCTGAAATTTTCTCCACATAAAATTATGCTAGACGAGAGTCACCTAAAGCCACATGCCTCAAACCCTTGCAGGTTAACTGATTTCTCCCCCACAAGGATGCTAAGAACCCATTCTGAAATTTCCTCCACATGAAATTACACCCTCGGACACGATCCCTGAATTCCATACACCACAAAAAGAATGGAGATAGATCATCAGGTGAGATTTAGTTTGCTTATTGAAGGGAAGGCATTTGAATAAGTGAAAGTAGACCTTAGAGCAGAAACTCCAGTGTATATCTAAATTACAAAAAGCCATATGATAGACAATAGGTTCCCAAGCTTTGGGCCTGCTATCCCCTTTTTAAGAAAAAACAACCTCAGTGTCCCTCTGGCAATTGAAAACATTTGTACTAGAGCCCTTATCCAGGATAAAGTGTAAGTATCTGCTTTTGCACACTCCCTGAATTGTCCTAGTGCTCCACAGGGTCAATCACTTACTTTGAGAAACACTGGGTTCAGGGAATAATCTAGCAAGAGGCACTCAGATACTAAATCAAGTTGATTTTAATATGTGAAAGAATCCAAGCCTAGTGGGGACTGAGCATGATAGTGGGATAGGAGGAAAGTCAAGGGAAATAGAGGAAAGAGCTGGGAGGCAAAGGGCATTTATAGAGGTCTAGATAAAGACATGTACATATGCAAATATATTTATATAGGAGGATGGAGAAATCTATGTGCCTATATTTATAGGTTTTGTATTAAGGTAGCAGAAGGACATTGGGTCTCCACTCAAGTACTCCCTCAATGCAAGAATACTTTCTTCTATTAAACTAGCATTCCATAATGCTCACCTTCCTGACACAACCACTGAAGACAAAGTGGGTGAATAAGCAAAAGTGGTGAAGAAAGCTGATGGTGCCTGGCTATCAAAGGATATAGCGTCTGGGGCCTTAAAAGCTTGAAGGTAAACAAGCGGTCATCTAGCTCATAAGCAACAAAGCCCACATGGAAGAAGCACACCAGCCTGTGTGATCATGAAGTGTCGAAAGGATCAAGTATAAGGCATCATCAGAACAAAAAAATCTTACCATAGTGAATGGGGGCGGAGTGGAGACCCAAAGCCCATTTGTAGGCCACTGGAGATCCCCTTGCAGAGGGCTCTCGGGGAGGGGATGAGCCAGACAGGGTGCGATGTAGCAACAATGAAAAATACAACTTTCCTCTAGTTCCAAAATGCTTCCTCCCTCTTCCCGCCCCCCCGACTATCATGATCTGAATTCTACCTTGCTAATCTGGCTAGACCACAGGATGTACACTGGTACAGATAGGAACTGGAAACAGGGAATCCAGGGCGGATGATCCCTTCAGGACCAGTGGTGTGAGTGGCGATACTGGGAAGGTAGAGGGAGAATGGGTTGGAAAGAGGGAACCAATTACAAGGATCTATATGTGACCTCCTCCCTGGGGGACAAACAACAGAAAAGTGGGTGAAGGGAGACATCAGACAGGGCAGGCTATGACAAAAATAGTTTATAAATTATCAAGGGCTCATGAGAGGGAGGGGAGCGGGGAGGGAGGAAGAAAAAAATGACCTCATGTCGGGGGCGTAAGTGGAGAACAAATGTTTTGAGAATGACGAGGGCAATGAATGTAAAAATGTGCTTTATACAATTGATGTATGTATGGATTGTGCTAAGTCATATGAGCCCCTAATAAAATGATTAAAAAAAAAAAAGAAGAATCCACCCTCAAAGACTTAGAACTGTTGTGATTCAAACAACTGTATTAGATTGTGTATTGAATTGGAAGCAGTTCAAATTCTCAAAAAAATATCTCAGGATCACACTAGACATTATCTAAGTGAAAGAAACCACTCATAAAACACCACCTAGTATATGATTCCATGCATATGAAAA